GCCAGTTGTACTGTGGAATCGTCATCATAATTCTCTCTGTCTGCCTGAGCCCTGTGAAGAGCGCCAGCTTTGCTGTTGGACACTTATTCCTCTCTGTTCATCTGGATCCTGTGAGTAGAACCAGTTACACTGTTGAATTGTCACATGTACCCTCTGTCTGCCTGAGCCCTGTGAAGAGAGCCAGCTTCGCTGTTGAATCCTTACTCCTCCATGTGCTGCTTGATCCTGTGAGTAGAACCAGCTACACTGTTGAATTCTCACCTGTATTCTCTGTCTGCCTGAGCCCCGTGAAGAGAGCCAGCTTTGCTGTTGAACCCTTATTCCTCTCTGTTCATCTGGATTCTGTGAGTAGAGCCAGTTATACCGTGAACCCTCACCGCTATTCTCTGTCTGCCCGAGCCCTGTGAAGAGAGCCAGTCGTACTGTGGAATCGTCATCATAATTCTCTCTGTCTGCTCGAGCCCTGTGAAGAGAGCCAGCTTTGCTGTTGAACCCTTATTCCTCTCTGTTCATCTGGATTCTGTGAGTATAGCCAGTTATACTGTTGAGCCCTCACCGTTATTCTCTGTCTGCCTGAGCCCTGTGAAGAGAGCCAGCTTTGCTGTTGAATCCTTACTCCTCCATGTGCTGCTTGATCCTGTGAGTAGAACCAGCTACACTGTTGAATTCTCACCTGTATTCTCTGTCTGCCTGAGCCCCGTGAAGAGAGCCATGCTTTGCTGTTGAACCCTTATTCCTCTCTGTTCATCTGGATTCTGTGAGTAGAGCCAGTTATACCGTGAAACCTCACCGCTATTCTCTGTCTGCCCGAGCCCTGTGAAGAGAGCCAGTCGTACTGTGGAATCGTCATCATAATTCTCTCTGTCTGCTCGAGCCCTGTGAAGAGAGCCAGCTTTGCTGTTGAACCCTTACTCCTCTCTGTTCATCTGGATTCTGTGAGTAGAGCCAGTTATACTGTTGAGCCCTCACCGTTATTCTCTGTCTGCCTGAGCCCTGTGAAGAGAGCCACGTTATACTGTGAAGTTGTGATCTTGACTTTCCGCCTGTCTGAGCCCTGAGAAGAAAGCCAGCCTGTTGTTGAATCTTTACTCTCCCCGTCTATCCGGATTCTGTGAGTAGAGCCAGCTATACTGTTGAATCCTCACCTGTCATCTGTCTGCCTGAGCCCTGGAAAGAGAGCCAGCTTTGTGGTGGATTCCGTGTTCCCCTCCGCCCATCCGAGCCCTGTGAGGAGAGAAACCGTTCTGCTGGGAATCTGAGAGAACTAGTTCTACTATTGAATCCCCACCTGTCTTCTGTCTGCCTGGGTCCCGAGAAGAGAGCCAGCTTTGCCGTGGATTCCGTACTCCTTTCCGTTCATCAGAATCCTGTGAAGAGAGAGATTGTTCTGCTGTGAATCTGAGAGAACCAGTTATACTGTTGCACCCTCACCTGTCTTCTGTCGGCCTGGGTCCGGAGAAGAGGGCCAGCTTTGCCGTGGATTCCGTACTCCTTTCCGTTCATCCGAATCCTGTGAAGAGAGAGATTGTTCTGCTGTGAATCTGAGAGAACCAGTTATACTGTTGCACCCTCACCTGTCTTCTGTCGGCCTGGGTCCGGAGAAGAGGGCCAGCTTTGCTGTGGATTCCGTACTACTCTCCGTCCATCCGAATCCCGGGAGAAGAGAAATTGTTCTGCTGTGAATTCGAGAACTAGTCCAGCTGTGAATCCTCACCTGCTCTGCCCACCCGAGTTTTGCTTCAGCTTGCTGAAGGCTGTTTTAGTTTAATTTATTCAATAAAGATTCTGAATTTTCTCTAACTTACTTTGCCTCTGTGTCCTCTGTGGTGTTGGCTCCTCGCGGTGGTACGTGTGTCGGGGGTTGGGACGGCCGGTCATCTGGTGTCCGGTCCCCCCGTGACATATACTTCAAACCTCTCTCTTTATATTCTTCCCTCCCGGCATGAGATTCAATAAAGCGCTGCTCATTGGCTTCAGCTGGCGCTCATTATAGTCAGATATGTTTACCAAAAGCCGGCCCGGTGTTACACCGACACTTCTTCCCCCTGGAAACGAGTCAATATTTTTGGTTCCTAGTTGGTTCACCCGGTGACGTAGAGCCTACCTCCTCCTCATCTGACTGACCCCCCAAACCCCCCAAACAGTTAGTTATGCTTCGTGGAGCGGGTTGCCGCAGTTTGTTTTTGTTGCCATTTGTGGAGCCTGGGTTGTCTGCATAGACCGCGTTTTTTACAGTGTGTTTAGGGGACAGGCAGCTAGCGGATAGTGAGGAGATGTTTGCTATAGACCATTTCAATGGCGTAAACAATAACAGACGCGTTGGAATGCTACTGCGCATGTCTGGCCCTGAGGCACTTCCGGTGTCGCCATTTTTAAACTACAGCACAGTCAAAACAAAATGACTAGCTCATACTTTTTAAGTCTAGCTAAACCAGAACAGTTAAGATATTCAAAAAAACTTAAAATAGGCGATTGCGTGGAATTACCGGACCCTTTAAATCAGACGCTGAGGCGAGAACTATTCACTCAGAACGTAAAACATTTACCTGAAGTGTCGTATCCAGACGTGTACCATTATCTGGTGGAGACCGAGTGCGTCTACACGAGAGAAGCGGTTAAGGCATATCGTAGCCTAGATGCTTACAACTACTTCCTCAGTGGAAAAGTCGGAAACATTTGTTCCTACAATGTGGACGATATTTGTCTTGTATTTGGTGAAGTTGGAGCAAGTCAGACATTGTCAAAAACGTACTCTGCGTGGTTCGTTGCTAAGGTGACCGGGGAGGTTATTAGCGGGCATTGCACTTGCATGGCTGGGTAAATATGTCTATTCAAATAATAAATCACGTTGCTAATCCTTTAGTAAACAAATTGTTGTATTCTATTATTACCCATTGCATAATTAATTATTTCATACGATTGGAAATATTTGTGGTTAGGTTAGGTGAAGTGTGTAGCCATGTTGCTGCAATCCTGGTTGCTGTGGAACAGTGTGTTAGAGAAGGTTTGAATGCTCCATCTGTAACATCTGAGACCTGCATGTGGTCACGAATAAACAAGAAGGTGCATGCAATTCAATTCTGACTAACATGTTTTTTGTTCTAATTTATTTAAATTAAAAATCTAATTTTAATCACATCCCTTATGAAAATGAAATACGGTTTTACTGCAAATAGAAAACAGGGTTATTGTAGTTAAACCATGGTAACCAAAAAATATACATAAATAACAAAAATAACCATAGTTTTGCAACACTAGCCATAGTTTAATCATGGCATTAGTATTAAAAAAAAAAACGAAACAAAAACATGACTTCTTTTACTTGGTTAATAACCATAGTTATTTTTCATAAGGGATGTGTGTTGCTGCTTTTATATAAAAGTAGATACTCACTGTAAATGTATAATCCCACTTTGTTTTAGATTGATCCAAAACCAGTAGCAGACATAGACTTTTCCAAGCCTGTCAGACAAAGAGCAATTCAGAGTAGGGAGCCTATCTTACCCAGAGTAGTCACACCGGTCTCACCAAGCATGCTTTTTAAGTCATTAAAGGTAAGGAATTTTCAGAAACCTCATGACAATATGCAAAACACATGTTCCTACATGGTTTGCATGGATATAGTCACATAAATGAATACATATATGGAAATATGCACCATTTATACATGTATCTAACTATATCTGTGAAATAACTAAAACTGCAAGAACACATTTCATGATTTTCCATACACATACTGTGTATGTGTGTGCATTTGTATGGATTGAATCGTCAAATAGGAACTTTTTAAGGACAAAGCAGGTCATAGAAAAGTAGTTATGATTTTGATTAGTTACTAGATTGTTAATATTGTGTGTTACTCATTTGTTCCAGTGTAGGTATCTATTAACGAAGGAACCATATTCTAAAGTGTTATCAAATAATGTAAACCAAATGCAATACAGATATTTAACTACACTTTCATCAACATGTACATTCACATTTTTTTTAATTATCTGTATTGAGAGATGTGTTACACAAATAAATTTGACTATGATTTAATGTGATTCTGATTTCAGAATGAGATCCCAGACTGTGCACTGTTTACCACTATAACTGTAGGTAGTGATACAGACACTGCATCTGAGGGAGAGCAGGAGAACACAGACAGAGTTGATGTTCTTACTACAGCTGAGGCAGATTCTAGTGAGAAATCACACGTAGCAGTTCTGAGTGACAGCACTGTAGATGCAACAAACTTGCCAAAGCCCCTTACACATCTTTTTGATGAGAAGCACAGTTTATTGTCACATGATGAACTACAAAATGAGCTAGATAAAATCATGCAAACCATCCCTACTTACTTTAATGAACTGAATTGTAAGCACCTCCAAGAAAGCACACTAGGTCAGTCCTCTTGTGAACAGTGGTTTGAGCAGAGACAGGGCAGAATCACAGCTAGCCACTTTAATGAAGTGTTAAGAAGCAAGACAAGTCAAGCTAGCGTGACATCAAAAATTATGGGCTACACATCCAGCAGAAATGTACCAGCCTTAGCTTGGGGAAAGAATAATGAAAAACTAGCAAGAGAAGCATTTACTTCAAACCAGATGACTTGTCATGACAGCTTGATAGTGGAAGAAGTTGGGTTAGTAGTAAATCCAAAATTTCCTCATTTAGGAGCCAGCCCAGATGGAATAGTCCATTGCAAGTGCTGCCCACGCGCAACACTTGAAATAAAATGCCCCTTAAAGTATGCAAATATGTCCATAACTGATGCTATCAAGAGCAAAGATTTCTGTCTGGGAAAAAACTTTGAGCTTAAACAGAACCATGCATACTATGCACAAGTTCAGGGGCAAATGGCAGTGTGTGAACTGAAAACATCTTTCTTTGTCATTTGGACAACAGAGGACTGCCACATTCAGAAAGTAGACTTCTCTGAAGAGTACTGGGCTGAGATTAGAACAAAACTGGACCTCTTCTACAGACAGCACATTCTCACAGAAATTTGCACACAAACTGATGAAACAATTTCTGATCGCAGAGACTTCCTGTTTGTGTAAAAGCAGGTCTAAAACATGTGTCACACAGTGCTCTGTCTGTCACAAGGTGTTTCACCTGAAATGTGTAGGCTTAAAAAGGCACCCTGGTGAGCAATGGTTTTGTTCAGTTTGTTCACCATAATCCAAAAAAATGTGAATTCATACACAACCTTCCCAGTAATTTGTTAAAATTGTTATTTTAATAATTGTAATACGTTCAATCAATTGCAGGACAACAAATATTCTCATTAACAAACAAATGTTTAATAATTGTTGATTATGATCATTTAATTTAATAATTGTAAATGTAATAATTGTAAAAATGATAATTTAAGACCAAACATTTATCCAATAGAAATCTATATACAATAGATATACAGAATGATGTACACAATCATTCAATAACAAAATAAAAGGTTTTTAACCACCTGTCAGTGTCTCGTGGTTTTTTTTACTGAATTAATGACTTGTCCAAATTCGATAATGCAGAACAAACCAGAAGAATTTTATCCACAGTTGCCACAGTGTCTACTGATCTTCGCTTCACCAAGTTTACAGGGAGTGTTTGTTTCAGAATGCAGTACTTTTTAATACGACCAATAGCTCTTTCCACGTGAATCCTCAACCTTGACATTTGACGTGACACAGACACTTCTTGTCCTGAAAGCTGCGTCTTTCCACGGGTTGAAGCTGGTATGAGTAGCTGGACTCCTTTTGCAGCAAAATACTCAGGGAAACTGAACCCTCTGTCAGCCATGACAATGTCTCCCTCTTCCAAAAGATCAATTAAACCAGATGATTTTGTGATTGTTTTGTCACTGGCTCTACCACCCCAAGACTTGGAAAGGAATGTGATTGACCCCGTTGGACTGATGCCAACCAGGAATTTGATGGTGTTGTGGGACTTATAGTTGGAGTATGTCATTGTTCTTGCACTGAGTGATGTTGGTCGGTCAATAAAAATCTCGCTGCAGTCTATGATACACCTCACTGAATTGAATGGGGGGGTTTTGAACAAGTCAGGAAGATTTTTTTTAATCTCTTCCCTAGAAGGCCAACGAATTAGAGAGCTGAAACGCTGTGTCATCACGTTTAACCAGTCGTGAAATATTGCAGAGATTGTAGCACAACTGCAATGAAACCTGAAGGCAAGATCTTTATGAGTGAGGCCAAGTCTCAGTTTCATTAAGACCAAGTAAAACTGGAGAGGTGTTGGAGGACTATGTGTTCTCGGACTCCAAGCAGTGGTGAGATATGTCAAAAGGGCAAAAAACACTTTGCATGAGCGAAGGCCAGTGTAGAAGTGAATGATTCCATCATCGTTTAAATCCACATCAGATTTCCGTCTTTTCCGCTCACTGGTGAGAGTTTGTACCTTTTTATGTAGGCTTCTCACTTGCTCTTTGTAAGATGTGTTCTGTTTCTGCATATCTTCAATATCACTCATTGTGAGATCTGTTCCAACACACATATCATTGAAGGACTTAACTTGAGTTACATCTATGTCCATGTCCTGCACTTCCTCAGTAGGCTGAACTCCAATGCTCATCTCAGAAACCTGTGACGCCCGTCTCAGAGACCTCTGATACCGGTCCATATTTCTGAAGGTATCAGGTCTGTGAGGAAGCTTTGATGGTATGTAATCTGGATGTAGAGGATCATCTGATGGCTTTCCTAAAGACACAAGTAGAAAAACATTATTGGGATAGGTTATATATTTATATTATATAACGACCAAGAGCATTTTTAATATAATTATCAATAAACTAGCTAGTTAGCTATCCGTATGACCCCTGCACACTGTCTGTAACACAACAGGGCTTGTATTGGTTATATTTTAGGTATCATGAACAAATAATTAACATTTTACAGCAAGTCTAATACATTAACAATTGTTAAAAACAGATTTGTTTATTACTTTAAGATGATTTGACTGCTTTTGTCGATCTCTTTATTTATAAATCGCTTTGGATAAAAGCGTTTGCTAAATGATTAAAAGTAAATGTTTAAATTTAACAAGTTAATGAGAAATGCAAAAAAAAACCATACTGTTATTGTTGAATCCATTAGTGCAAGTTGGAATTAACATTAAAAAAGCTTAATAAGTGATAAAAATGTTGTTTATCGTTATATTTCGTAAAATAATGCAGTTAGGTAATGTTACACAATAAAACATTATTGTAAAGTGTTTTACACTGCTGTCAGCTGAATGGATAATTTAGCTAGACAACTAATCTAAGGCTACTTTTCTATTATAGCCCACAGAACATTTAGAAAACGGAAATACAAATATCAAAAAGCTAACGTTAGCTATTTGACATTACATGCTATCGAGTTACATGTGAAAACAATGATGGAGCCAAACTGCTAGCTCAAATAATTATTCATCACACTTAACTAATTAACGTATAAAAATAAAAATAATTTAGTGACACAAATGTTTACTTACCAGAGATAAAATGTGTGCTGCATATCCTAGAGTTGCTTGTTGGTATCCAGCCTTCTCTCTTCACTGCTGTAATCCAGGCGTCACGCTGATTTTTGTTTTTAGGAAATCTATAAGCTTTAATTTCCGAAAGTAAGTTAGTTCCAGGCCTGAGTGAACAGCCAACAACCGAGCAGCACGCTCCTAATTTAAATTTGGACATGTTTTATCGAATTAGTAAGAAAATAATCGATCAATTGCCATAAAAAAACGCTTCCCGTCTGTTGTTTTGAATGTGCGCGTTAACTAACCGGAAACGTCTGAGGGCCAAACACGTCACTTCCTTCCATCCGCAAATAGCGATTGAAATGGTCTATATGTGACAAAAAAAATGTTTGGGCCTAAAAAACCTGACCTGGAAGGTCATAATGTGCCTCTGAGTGTCAGGTGCATAATCGATGGAGATATGCTTCCGTCTATCTGTAAATGTGTGGAAAATTACTGTGTTTATCTATTTCTTAGCCAATGAGAATCATTCAACATGTAAGCAATGACGTAGCTTAGACCTTGGAAATGGTATAACTGCTGTGATCTTTGTAACTGTAAGAGGCGGCCTATGAACTCCTGTGTGAGTCAAGCTGAATTCAGCTGATGAAACTACAAACTATATTCAGTAAAACTTTTTTTTTTTTTTATATATAATTATTTTTTATAATTCTGACTCCGGGTCTTCATTCTTCATATCTGGTTCTGGGTCTTTGACTGTAAACCCCTTACAATAGTTTCAAAGCAGCTTTACAGAAAATGCATGTATACATTACAATTTAGAGTGATTGTTATCAGAAATGTCCAAATCACAAAGTTAGCTAATAATGTATTAATTTACACAATGTATTAAAGGCAGAAACAATGAGCTCATTGAAGTAATGAATACATGTTAGGATATATAGAAAAATGTATCACTGGTACATGTTGATTCAGAGCTTGCTTAATCTGAAATTTTTTTAAACAACAATATATAATACAATATTTGTAATTAAAATGTACATTTAGTCTTTATTCTTAAAATGCATTATATCAGCATCTTATTACAATTGAGGACTGCGTATCACTTTTATGCTTCTTTGTTGTCTATTCTTAGGGTTCCCTTCAAGTAGCATTGGCTGAAACCCCTCTTCCCTCTCCCGCTTGCCATAGACATCTATGCCGCTTGGCACGCAGGAAGCGGAAGTGTCAATAGAGTGCAGAAGTTACGACGTCACTCTGTAGGCCAAAACGCGGAAGTGAGTTAGTATTTTAGCATTACGGTTCCCTCGCTCTAAAGCCTATGGGATTTTTGAACAGGCTTTTGCTAAATCGCCTGAAATAAGGTCTCTGGTGAACAGAGCCTCTACATATTTTCACGTTTTGATCTATGACATAGGACACACATTTATAACCTGCTTGTGGTTTTTTAAACTTTATTGTGTCTGATTGTGTTTTTTAAAATCTTTATATAGGCTTCAAAATGTATACATTTTGGATTACCTTGTAAAGATTGTCTTGCTAGACAAAACGTGTAAGGGTCATAACCCTTTGTTAAACACAGATCTTATTTTTTGCGATTTTCCAAAAGTCTATGGGGAAAATGCATTGCTTTTCGACCGAGGGAACCCATGCGCCGCTAGCTTCCGGGTTGTCCTACAAAGTGACGTCATCACTTCGGCACTCTATGTAATAACTGTCAGCGGTTTGGACATGTAGCAGTAATGTGCAATGAGACAAGAAGGTGTGCAAGATGTGGAGGAAATCCTAATTATGGTCAGTGTGGGGAAGGTGTAGCACCTAAATGTTGTAATTGTGGGGGAGCTCATAGTGTAGCTTATGGAGGGTGTTCTATGATGAAGGAAGCGGTACAAGTGCAGCAAGTGAGAGTAGGACAGAAAGTGTCATACACAGAGGCAGTTAAAAATGTCCAGAACCAGAAAGCAGGGGGTGGCAGTGAAAATAATGTGAGACATGAAGCAAGGCAAGGGAAAGAGGATGAGGGAAATATGATACGAATGGATGCTAGAAAGTTAGTGACATTTATTGCTGGTGTGATTAATGGTACTGTGCAGATGTAAAATCAAAGACAGAAAGAATACAGCTGATTGTGATGGTAGCAGTACGGCATTTGGATGTTACAGGGCTGACATGGGAAACAGTGAGAGATGATCTCAAACATCAGTCTAGTCAGGAAGTATGGGTTGGTTAATATTTATCATGGTGTTAATAATACATTGGAATGCCAGAAGCCTGGTAGCAAACGGACAAGAGTTTAAACAAGTTATTGAAGAAATGTTACAAAAGCCAGATGTTATTTGTATTCAAGAGACCTGGCTGAGGCCAAATCTGGATTTTTTGATACAAGGGTATGTGGGTGTCCATCGAGACAGAAGCACAGGAGGTGGAGGAGGTTGTGCTACATTTATTAAACTGGGGCTGCCATATAGGACTCTAGGATTAGGGAAGGTTGGAGTATGTAGTGGTGGTTGTGGGCAGGAATGGAAAATTTAGTGATAATCCATTTTTACAATCCATGTAAAAGATTAGAATTAGGTTTAATGGAAGAGGTAGAGGGACAGGAAGGACGAAAGGTAGTGTGGTGTGGAGACTTTAATGCTCACAATCCACTTTGGGGGGGAAAGAGAGTTGATGGATTTAAAAGGATTGGTGTCCATTAATGAAGGTAGAGGATTGATATGGGGTCAGGAAAAGAGTCAGCACTAGACCTTACCATCACATCTCACGCCCTAGCAAGGTTTTGTGATTGGGAGGTATGGGAGGAGTCGACAGTAGGGAGTGATCATTTTCCTATTTTATGCACAATCAGAATGAGGGTGGGAAACCTGTCTGGAGAGGGAAGAGGGAGATGGGTATTCAGGAAGGCTAATTGGGACAAATTTAAGGAGTTATGTGAGGAATGGTTAGCTGGGGAGGTTCAAGATATGGAGAGTGAAAGAGAGTATAGTACGTTCATAGATATTATTAAAAAAGTGGCAGATGAAACTATTCCTAAGAGTTCTGGGATAAGGAGAAGGAAAGCGGTTCCATGGTGGACACAGGAATGTACTGAAGTAATTAAAGTTAGAAACAGGGTGTTTAGAGTGTTGAGATGTACTCATAATTTTGAGCATTTAATTCAATATAAAAGGTCTCAAGCACTTGTAAGAAAAACTGTACGACATGCTAAGAGGAAATACTGGCGTGAGTTCTGCAGCTCAATAGGAAGACAGACCTGTGGGAGAAGTGTGGGGGATGATTAAGAAGATGAGCGGAATGAGGAGGGAATGGGACTATCCTGTACTGGTCAGTGAGGAGGAGAAGGCAGTAACTGATGTAGAGAAGGCAGAGATGATGGCTAAAGCTTTTGTGGCAATACATAGCTCTGACAACCTGGAGGGAGAGTGGAGGAAAGGAAGAGAAAATACATTAAAGGCATATCCTAGGGTCTTAGAAAAAAGGGAGGAAGTAGGAGATGAACTGAGTGCTCCATTTTCTAAGGCAGAAATGGAAAGAGCTATTGCTAGAGCAGGTTTGACGTCACCAGGAGAGGATGAAATGTGCTATATTATGTTTTCAGGTATGGGTGAGGTAGTGTCACGGGTGACAAAATCGCTCAGTAAACGGAACCTTCTTGAGAGTCCTGAGTTTCCTAGGGGAACGTATTGGGTGCAACACTCCACTACGGTTCCGGGTGTGATGGAAACATGCCCGTACTGATTAGCGCTAATGCATTGCAGGTGTGAGAGAGAGAGGAGCGGCACTCACACGGACTCCCTGTTTCATAAGCCACGATATAAAAGGGGCATTTAGAGAGTGTTTGCAGCGCGGTTGGTGGGTGTACAGTGTGTCAAGATTCCAAAGGGTTGACAAGAGCAGACATTAAAGTGGGTTGACTCTGGGCAGTGCTATCCAGAGGCTTCCTTGTAAAAATCGTTGGAGTGTGGAGATCGCCCATTCGAGTTTGCTGGGTCAGATTGATCGTTTGTGGGAAGACTGCTGGACCGAGCTAGGGCTGGATCTGTGCTGTGGAAGGAGAGAGGAAAGATAAGTGAATTGTTTTCATCTTATGAACATTTGAACCACTTGAAGAGGATACAGTGAATGTGGATCTGACTGTTGGAGGAGCTATGTGTTTCAGAGTGTGATGAGGAGGAATTAAAAGTGAAAACCCTGTAAACGAGCGCAACGGACGGAGTGGGGCCTCTGTCCAACCCTATCGTGTGAGTGAATTGCAGTGCTTTTGCCTTATTGATACACATTGATTTATTGCTGTGGAATTGAAGTGAACACAAGTGTGCTGTGTCTTTGTTGAGAAGTGGCCCCCATCCATGCTTACACGTTCGTGGAAGGTTTTTATATCTGCCCCCGTCAGAAGCCCAGAGTGATACAGTGAACTGAAGAGAGAGTACTGTGTCTTGTGGATATCCTCACCTGTTCTACTTACTGTTTGAGCCCAGAAGTATACAGCAACGCTGATAAAGTAATCGTTTAACCCACTGTCGCCCTACTGTGAACTGAGGAGAGAATACTTTGTACTGTGAAGATCCACACCTGTTCTACTTGCTGTTTGAGCCCAGAAGCATACAGCACCACTGGTAAAGTAACCTTATGACTCACTGTCCCCCTATTGTGAACTGAAGAGAGAGTACTGTGTACTGTGACTATCCTCACCTGTTCTACTTACTGTTTGAGCCCAGAAGTATACAGCAACGCTGATAAAGTAATCGTTTAATTCACTGCTTCATTACCGTGCACCAACGAGAGTACCCTGTACTGTGAAGAATCCTTACCTGCCATGCTTACTGTCTGAGTCTGGAAGTCTGCAGCACCGCTGGGGGAAAAGTAAGCTTTTAATCCACTGCTTTATTATCGTGCACCAACGAGAGTACTCTGTACTGTGAAGAATCCTTACCCGCCATACTTACTGTCTGAGTCTGGAAGTCTGCAGCACCGCTGGGGGAAAAGTAAGCTTTTAACCCACTGCTTTATTATCGTGCACCAACGAGAGTACTCTGTACTGTGAAGAATCCTTACCTGCCATACTTACTGTCTGAGCCTGGAAGTCTGCAGCACCGCTGGGGAAAAAGTAAGCTTTTAATCCACTGCTTTATTATCGTGCACCAACGAGAGTACTCTGTACTGTGAAGAATCCTTACCCGCCATACTTACTGTCTGAGTCTGGAAGTCTGCAGCACCGCTGGGGAAAAGTAAGCTTTTAATCCACTGCTTTATTATCGTGCACCAACGAGAGTACTCTGTACTGTGAAGAATCCTTACCCGCCATACTTACTGTCTGAGTCTGGAAGTCTGCAGCACCGCTGGGGGAAAAGTAAGCTTTTAATCCA